CACACACACACACACACACACACACACACACACACACACACACACACACACACGCACACGCGCACACACGCACACCCACCCACAAACACACAAACGGCGCGAAAACAATACGTTCCGCTACACTACGTGCGGAGGATATAAACCATTACTGCGAAGCGTTTGCCTACATTTTTCCAAGAATTATTACTACAGGCAAACCCCGTTAGTAGAAAACTGACGGACCAAAAAAAAAATGTATTGCGCGGGTTTCGTATTAACCACTTTAACATATATTAGCCCCGAATTAACAAAGAAAAAAATATGGATTACAAGGTGTGTACAAGGTATTTTACATAGGTTTATATGTATAATTAAGAACTTTAGTAGCGTTAAATTGTTCACAAATAGATACAATTACTGCAAAGCCTAAACTCCTCATTCAATTACTACTATTCATTACTACAGTCGCACCCCGTTAGTACGAAACTGACAAGCCTAAAAAAAATCGTATTAAGCGGGTTCCGTATATTATATTAGCCTTAATTTAAAAAAAAAAAAAATTGATTAGAAGGTGTGTACAAAGTGTTTTATATAGAAATGAAAATACCGGGACAGAAAATTTTATGTTAGTAACAGGATCCTTGTATTCGTATCAAGTCAATATTTTACTAAAAGATTACTATGAATCGGGCCGGGATTTAGAGAAATCATCGTAGTCTCGTCAGCGTAACGAGCGAATATCGCCGCCGGAGGCGGTTATTTCGCGTGTCCAATTAAATCAAAAACGAGTTTATTCAACTACAAAAACTTGTCAAGTGTTGGCTTAATTACAGAAGCCGCTTAGTGCCGGCGCGGTCACGATTTTCGCAGCCGGTGCCGTCACGTTTTTCGCAGCCGGCGCGGTCATCTTTTTCGCTAATTTAAAACCTCTTTTCTTTTAAACCTTTAAAAAAAACAAGGCTAAAACACAGCACCGCGAGCGAGCGAAAATACGGCGGCGGCGGCGGCGGCGAGCGAGCAGAATCGGCGCGGTCGCCTTATTCGCAGCCGGCGCCGTCACCTTTTGCATCGTAGCCGGCGCGGTCACCTTTTTCGCACCGCGAGCGAGCGAAAACACGGCGGCGGCGGCGACGGCGAGCGATCAGAATCGGCGCGGTCGCTTTTTTCGTAGCCGGCGCCGTCACGTTTTTCGCGAGTAATGATGACGACGTCGACTAAAAATGTCGACGACGAAAAACGTAACCGTGCCGGCTGCGAAAAAGGCGCCGCGCCGATTCTGCCCACTCGCCGTCGCCGCCGTGTTTTCGCTCGCTCGCGGTGCAGTGTTTTAGCCTTGTCAGGGCGAGTAATGATGACGACGTCGACTAAAAATGACGACGACGGCGACGACGAAAAACGTGACGTCGCCGGTTGCGAAAAACGTGACCGCGCCGATTCTGCTCGCTCGCCGCCGTCGCCGTGTTTTCTCTCGCTCGCGGTGCAAAAAAGGTGACCGCGCCGGGTACGCAAAACGGCGCCGGCTGCGAATAAGGCGACCGCGCCGATTCTGCTCGCTCGCCGCCGCCGCCGCCGCCGCCGTGTTTTCGCTCGCTCGCGGTACTGTTTTAGCCTTGTCCGGGCGAGTAATGATGACGACGTCGAGTAAAAATAACGACGACGACAACGAAAAACGTGACGTCGCCGGCTACGAAAAACGTGACGGGGCCGGCTGCGAAAAACGTGACCGCGCCGGCACTAAGCGGCTTCCGTACTTTCGCGATTTAATGCTTAATGCTGCGTTTACACTGTGTTCCCGGCGGCCACGGCAGCCCCGTTTCAGGCCACCGTGGACAAAACGGGATGAACGTGAGACAACGCGGGGGGACGGAATGGGCAAACGTGACAGGCCGTGATTGCCGTGGTTGCTGCGCCAAATTATTAATTTGTCAAAAGATTTGCCATGGCAGTCACGGTGCGGATGAGAAACGTAGTAGACCGTAGTAAAACGGGGTGAACGCAACAAAACGTGACAGCACGTAATAGGCCGTAACAAAGCTTGGAGGCGGTCCGTAGTGGGACGGGACAGGACGGGTTCTGCCCGGCGCGCTACGGCGCGTTGCGTTCTACTACGCTCAAGTATGGTGGCCGAGATGGCTACGGATATTTTTATTCCAAATTCATTTTTATTTCAAATTTATTTTCATTTCAAATT